GTCATAGGCTGTCTTCACACACTCTTATCAAAGTGCTGCATGCTTGTTTCTTGGTCTGGTTGTCTACATTACATTGAAAACTTCTAGAAGTTAAAAATGCGTCTTTACATCACACACACACACACACACACACGCACACACGCACCACACCACAATTTACTCCACTACTCTTGTTCCTTCCATCGTGCTTCTGGTCTTTTCTTCTCTAAATAACCAGATTTCTTGTAAGAATTATAATGTTTGCCGTCTCTACTTTTTTACCTCCCTTTCAGTCCTCAGTCTACTCATTTAAGTCTGGTCTCATCCTCGCCTGAAATACTTTTCATTAATGTCATTAATCATCTTGTTACACTAGGTCTTTTATCAGTCACTATACTTGACTTACCAGCAAGCACTTGGTTCTTTGGACTATTTCCTCCTTCTTGAAATAGTATTTCTTGAGCTTCTTGTATTTAAAAGCAGCCTTGTTCTCCTACTAACTTTCTGGCTGAGTCTTATGTTTCATTCATCCAAGCTAAAGCCACTAAGTATTAGAGATCTCCAAGACTCTGTCCAAGGCACTCTCTTCTTAACTTCTTCTTTATCCTCCATGGAGCTAATCCATACCCATGACTTCAAGGGCCCACACCACTTAAGAGCCCAGCTCTTCTGAGCAGCAGACCTTGTGATGGTTAATTTTAGGTATCCACCTACCGGATTAAGGAGTACCTACAGAACTGACAAGCATTATATTGGGATGTGTCTGTGAGGGAGTTTCCAGAGGAGACTGGCATGTGAGTCTGAGTGGACCAAGTGGAGAAGATCCACCCTCAGTGTGCTTCGCCACCATCTCATAGGCTGGGGGCCCAGACAGAAAAAAACAGGGAAGGAAAATTGGTTTCTTTCCTGGAGTTCGGATACACTCTTATCCTGCCTTGGTCAGCAGAACTCCAGGCTCACTGGCCTTTGGACTCTAGGACTTACACCAGCAATCCCCACTCCTACCCCAGGTTTTCAGGTCCTGGAACTTGGACTGAGCAACACTACAGGCATTCCAGGGTCCCCAGCACGTAGATGGCTGTCACAGGACTTCTCAGCCTCAATAATCAGGTGAGTCAATCCTCCTAATAAATCCCCTCACGTATATCTATATATCTATAAATAGCTTGTTGGTTCTGTCTCTCTGAAGAACACCGACTAGTGCAGCTTTTAGTATCAACAGTGCTTCTAGGGGTTTTCATAATTGATTTGGGGTTTCTAGAATTGGCTATCAAATCTACTTAGATCTAAAAATGCCAAGGACTCTACTTCTAACAGTACAGACAGCACTGAACTCTCTAGGGCAAACTGCTCCTAGAGATACACAAAATAGGTACATTTGGTACTTTTAACTCACCACTTAAAAGAGACAAGAAACTTGGTGACTTCTATATATGATATCTTTAACATTTGTGCAAAACCAAGGAATATAATGACTTTGGTTGGTTGCTCCTAATGTCAGTGGACAAAGGGATGAAAGAAGAGAATGAGTTCAGGTATTCTATTTCCTGCTCCAGCTCTACATAAATAGCCGAAGAGCTTCTAAGTGTGCCCTGAGTCTGAATCTCCTCCCCTATAGCCACAGGTCTGGGATTGCTGAAAATCAGACAACAGTGCTTATCATATGACTGACTGAATCACAGAAAAAGCTGAACGCTCAGCTCCGCAGGTGTCTATGGTTAAAGTGAGGGCATTGGTTGAGACAGAATGGGATCTGTAAGCTGAGATGGGGATGTGTGGGAGGGCTCCGATGAGGCTGGGGACACCGAGCTCTGAAATTCTGATAAGTGTTGTTTGCCAGCAGAAATGGTTCCCACCCACAATAGTAGAGGGTTTCCCGCCTCTGTCTGAAGGAGTTAACCCTGCAATGCCTAAGAAAATGGTAACAGCCTCCATGAGGCAGTTGCCAAGCAAGACAAAGCTGAGTCTCCTCAGAATCCACCCCCACTGCCCCTCTTTGCTTCTGAATCTGTAACTAGACTTGAGTCCCAGCAGGCGCCTAGAGGTGAGGTTCAAAGTGTGATTCAGGAGGAGGTGTGCCATGTTCCAAAAGAGCTACTTCAGTTTTCCAATTTATACAAGCAGAAGTCTGGGGAACACTTGCAGGAATGCACACTGAGAGTGTGGGAAAATGGTGGAAGAAATATAAAGTTGGATCAGGCCAAATTTACTTATGTGGAACCTCAGAGCAGAGGTCCTCAATTTAACTTTGCAGCTCAGGGAGTGAGTTTGTTTGATTGGTTGGTGAAACATGGATCAAAAAACATGACCCACTGTGAGTGAGCTGGAGATGCCTGATCTCCCCTGGGCTAACACAGAGGAAGGGATTCAAAGGCCCAGGGAGATTGGAAAGCTATAGTGGATTTGTCACTGAAACCCTACTCAGCCACACCAGGAGGGTCCAGAAGACGGACCTTTCATCAATACTTTGAACAATGGATTGGTGAGGGGAGCCCCAGCATCCCTGAAGAGCTCTGTGATTGCTCTTTTCTGTAGACCAGATCCTACCATGGGAACTGCTGTTACGCAGTTGGAAAGCTTAAATTCAATGGGAGTAATTGGATCCCAAGGTGGTGGGGACCAAGTGATGGCACTCAACCAACTATCAAAGACAAGTTGAATGCAGTTTACAAAATGGCACCTGGGATGCAGCTATTAAACTGGTAAATACCTTTTTCTCCACTTGTGTTCATAAGGCCCACCTGAGGCACTTTGCCTTCAGCTGGCAAGGCCAGCGATACACCCTCACTGTCTTACATCAGAGACACCAGCTTTATGTCACAATCCAGCTTGCAGGAATCTTGATAGTCTTTCCCTTCCATAAGATATCAGACTGTTCCATTGATAACCTTTTGCTGATCAGACCTCATGACCAAGAAGTAGCAACTACTGTGGACTTATTGGTAAGGCATTTGCGTATCAGAGCATGGGAGATAATCCAATTAAAATTCAAGTGCCTTTTACCTTGGTGAAATTTCTGAGGGTCCAGTGGTGTGGGGCATGTCAAGATATTCCTTCTAAGATGAAGGATATGTTGTGCACTTGGCTCCTCCTACAACCAAGAAAGAGATACAATGCCTAGTGGGCCTATTTGAATTTTGGAGGCAACACATTCCTCACTTGGGTGTGTTACTCTGGCCCATTTGTTGAGCGTCCGAAAAGACTGCTAGTTTTGAGTGGGGTCCAGAACAGAAGGGCTCTACAGCAAGTCCCAGCTGCCGTGCAAGCTGCTCTTCCCCTTGGGCCATATGACCCAGCAGATCCAATGATACCCAAGATGTCAGTGGCAGATAGGGATGCTGTTTGGAGCTGTTGGCAGGGCGTTGTAGAAGAATCACAGCAGTTCTTAGGATTTTGGAGCAAGGCCCTGCCATCATCTGTAGATAAGTACTCTTTGGAGAGAGCTCTTGGCCAGCTATCCGGCCTTAATAGAAACTGAACGCTTGACCATGGGCCACTAATTATCATGTGACTTGAGCTGCCCATCGTGAACTGGGTGTCATCTGACCTACCAAGCCAGGAAGGCCATGCACAGCAGCAGTTCCTCATCAAATAATGGACCAGTGCAGGCCCTGGAGGTACAAATAAGTTACATGAAGAAATGGCCCAAATGTCCTTGGAGTCTACTCCTATCACACTGCCTTCTCTCCCACCACCTGCACCTATGGCCTTATGGGGAATCCCCATGATCAGCCAACCGAGGAAGAGAAGACTCGGGCTTTGTGGACAAATGGTTCTGTATGATACAGCTAAAAGTGGACAGCTGCAGCACCTCAGCCCCTTTCTGGAAAATCTTTTAATGACAGTGGTAAAGGAAAATCTCAAGGAGCAGAATTTAAGGCAGTACACCTGGTTGTGCACTTTGCTTAGAGGAAAAATGGCCAGATAAGTGATTAGGTACTGATTCATAGGCTGGATGGTCAGGGACTTGAAAGGAACATGATTAGAAAATTGGTGGCAAAAACATTGAGTGAATAGATATGTGGATAGATCTCTCTGAGTCGGCAAAGGATGTGAAGATATTTGTTTCTCATGTAAATGCTCACCCAAGGATGACCTCCACAGAGGAGTATGTTAACATTCAGGAGGGTAGGATGACCCATTCTGTGAATACCAATCAACCTCTTTTCCCGGGCATCCCTGTCATTGCCCAGTGGGCTCAGGAACAAAGTGGCTATGGTGGTAGGGATGAAGGTTGTGCACGGGTTCAGCAGCATGGCTTCTACTTGCCAAGACTAAGCTTGCTACAACCACCACTGAGTGCTCAGTCTGCCAGTTGCAGAGACCAACACTGAACTCCTGATATGACATCATTCCCCAGGGCAATCGGCCAGCTATGTGGTGGCAGGTTGATTACATTGGAAGGCTTCCATCATAGAAAAGACAGCATTTTGTCCTTTCTGGAATAGACACTTCCTCTGGATACGGGTGTGCCTTCCCTCCACGCAATGCTTCTGCCAATATTACCATCTGTGGACTCACAAAATGCCTTATCCACTCTCATGGTGTTCCACACAGTGTATCTACTAAGGAACTCGCCTCACAGCCAAAGAAGTGCAGCAATGGGCCCAAGTTCATGGGATCCAGTAGTCTTACCCTGCGTCCCACCGTTCTGAAGCAATAAGCTTGACAGAATAGTAAAACGGCCTTTTTAAGTTGCAGTTACAGGACCAGCTAACGTTGCAGGACTGGGGCAAGGTTTTCCAGAAAGCTGTGTGTGCTCTGAATCAGCATCCAATATATGATCCTGTTTTTCCCGTAGTCAGGACACATGGAGTCAGGAATCACAGAGTGGGAGCGTCACCACTCACCAGTACCCCTAGTAACCCACTGGCAAAGCTTTTGCTTCCTTTTCCCATGATTTTATGTGTGCTGAACCTCGAGGTCCTAGTTCCAGAGACAGGAATGTTTCCATCAGGAGACACAACAATGATTCCATTGAACTGGAAGTTTAGCCCGCCCCGCCACGCCCCCGCCCCCCAGCCACTTTGGAGGCCTCATGCTTCTGAGTCAACTGGCTATATTACGGTGCTGACTGGGTAACTCATCCAGACTAGGAAGGGGAAACTGGATTACTACTCCATTGGATGAAAGGAAGAGTATGCCTGGAATACAGGAGATCCCTTAGGGTGTCTGTTAATATTACCATGCCCCACGATCAAGGTCAATGGGAAACCACAACACAATCCAGGGAGGACTACGAATGACCAGGATTCCTCAGGAATAAAGGTTCAACACAATCCAGGGAGGACTACAAATGACCCAGATTCCTCAGGAATAAAGGTTCAACACAATCCAGGGAGGGACTACAGTGACCCAGATTCCTCAGGAATAAAGGTTCAACACAATCCAGGAGAACTACCAGAATGACCCAGATTCCTCAGGAATAAAGGTTCAACACAATCCAGGGAGGACTACCAGTGACCAGATTCCTCAGGAATAAAGTTCAACACAATCCAGGGAGGACTACGAGGCCAGCTCCCAGATTCCTCAGGAATAAAGGTTCAACACAATCCAGGAGGACTACCCAGTGACCCGTTCAGGAATAAGGTTCAACACAATCCAGGGAGGACCACGAATGACCCCAGATTCCTCAGGAATAAGGTTCAACACGGAATAAAGGTTCAACACAATCCAGGGAGGACTACCAGTGACCCAGAGTCCTCAGGAATAAAGGCTCAACACAATCCAGGGAGGACTACGAGTGACCCAAATTCCTCAGGAATAAAGGTTCAATCACCCCACCAGGTAATGAACCAAGACCAGCTGAGCTGCTTGCTGCAGGTAAAATTATACAGAATGGGTAGTGGAAGGCAGTCACAAATACTAGCTATGGCCGGGTAACTAGTTACAGAAACAAGGACAGTAATTGTCATGAGTATTTTCTTCCTATCTTGTTAAGGATATGTTTTGGTGTACATATTATACATGTTATGCTTACATTAAGCAAATATCTTTGGTTTTGCTCCTCTCTTATCCCTTTATTATATATAACAAGATTTTTTGACTTTATATCAAAATTTACGTGTTGTTAATTTTACATCATAGTGTTTCAATTATCATCCAAAGACTTCACCTTCTCTTCTAGGGAAGAGATTAGCACATTTTCTGCTGTATGCAGATAGTTTCACCGTGTTAGGTGGAACTATTTTCTTGTTATTGTCTTCATTTGGAGGTTAAGTTTGGTTTAAAGGAAGCATAGAGGTGCCAAGTTGACAAAAGGTGGACCTGTGATGATTAACTTTAGGTGTCAGTTTGACTGGATTAAGGAACACCTGGAGAGTTGGTAAAGCATGATTTTGGGGTGTGTCTGTGGGGGGTTTCCAGAGGAGACTGGCATGTCAGTCTACGTGGATTCAGTGGGGAAGATCCACCCTCACTGTATGTGGGCACCATCCCCATAGGCTGGGACCTGGACAGAACAAAAAAGAGGCGAGGCGAATAGGTTGCTTCCCTGGAGCTCGGACACACTCTTCTCCCGCCCTTGGCCAGCAGAACTCCAGGCTCTCTCAACTGTGGACTCGAGGACTTAGCCCAGCAACCCCCACTCCCACCTCAGGTTCTCAGGCCCTGGAACTTGCACCGAACAAGACTACTGGCATTCCAGGGTCCGCCATATGTGGATGGCTGTCACGGGACTTCTCAGATTCCATAATCAGGTGAGCCAATTCCCCTCATAAATCTCCTCCCATTGATTTTTATGTCTCTGGAGAACCCTGAGTAACACAGACCTGTATACCTTGCACTCTTTTCAACAGCTCTTAACTGCAAAGCAATTCAAAGTAGCCATGTCCACAGCAAGCTCGTAATGAACTTATTACAGGCTCATAATAGCGTCTTATTTCTGTACTTTCTATTTCAATGAATGTCCCACCAGCCATTCGATTAGGCCAGTCAAAAAATGGGGTGTCATCCTTGATATGACTCTGATTCCTCTGATGATATGCAGTCTATCACCAAGTCTCAATGATTAAGGGTCTTTCAAATCTGTGTGCATTTCTCCATTTCCACCCATCACTGTAGCCTAAGCCACCATCCTCTCTCAACTCTTGCCTTGCATCTCAAACGGTCTCCAGGTGCACTCAGGCCCACTCATAAGCATTTCTCCCCATTGCAGCCAAAATTATATTTAAACAAACAAACAAAGCATTTTTCAGGTCATCATTTTCCCCTCAGCCCAGCCTCACTCATATCTTCTATTCTTTTAATAGAAATGAGGCTCCTAAATGTGCCTTACAGACTTGGCATTGTCTCCACCTGCTCTGACCTCCAGCTCCATTGGCTTGCTTTTCTCCTTCCTGCCCTGTGGCATTTGCACATTCTGTTCCTTCTCTATGAAACCCTCCCTAACCAAACTAACTCCAGCTCCTTCATGTCTACAGTCAGAGAAGCCTGCTCTGGCATTTTTAACGAGTCCAAATCCTCCTCTCAAATTGGCAACAGGCAGTTCTAGGTAGCTCTCCATTCAATCCACTAGCGCCCTTGCCATCTCACTTCAGTTTGTGATTATTTAAAGTCTATCTCCAGGGCCGGGTGCAGTGACTCATGCCTGTAATCTCAGCACTTTGGGATCCCAAGGCAGGCAGGAGTTCGAGACCAGCCTGGCCAACATATAGTGAAACCCCATCTCTACTAAAAATACAAAAATTAGCTGGGCAAGGTGGTGCACGTCTGTAGCCTCAGCTACTTGGGAAGCTGAGGCAGGAGAATCACTTGAACCTGTGAGGCGGAGGTTGCAGGGAGCCGAGATCATGCCACTGCACTCCAGCCTGAGTGACACAGCAGGACTCCGTCTCTAAATAAATAAATAAATAAATAAATAAAGTCTATCTCCAGTGTTTGCGCCTTATCTTAGGCCCAGCGTGCAGCATAGTGCCTCACATCAGGGCAAGCTAAATAAACACCAGCTAAATAATTAGAATCTCACCATAATAAATCACCAAAGAACAACACAGTGTCCTTATAAAATAAATAAATAATTGAGTGAGTCCTCAGTTTTCTAAAGCATGCAATGGGAAAATAACTATCTCACCAAGTTCTTCTAAAGATTAGATAAATAGCCCAGTGTCGCACTTATCATGTAACAGACTGTCAATAAAAGGTTTGCTTCCTTTATTTCTCTGCAAAATATACACAGATCATGACATGGAGCCAGGGTGTGATGTACAATTAGCTGTGGCTCAAAATAAGATCAATAAATTTGGGGTGCAGATTTCCCACTAACATGTCACACTGGCCACTCCATTTTCCCCAGGCACTGTGCTTCTCCGTGACGGGCACTGTGCGGCCTTTCTCTATTTCTCTGTGACAGCAGTAGAATCCTCAGTAGTAGTGAAAGAGAAAAGACAAAGAGACATAAAGAAAAAAGAAATGACAGTTTTCAGCCATGGCAAGTAGATTATACAAATGCATCTTGATTTACACATGACAGATGTGTTCCTTAAAAATATATGTAAACTGAATTGCACTTGGAATTCACAAGGGAATCTTGGTACTTAAAGAAATCCTCTACTGAATCCTTTTGGAATAAGAACCACCAACAGGATGCAGGATGATGAACTTCCCCCCCACCCCCGTGTTTGTGTCATGGGCATTGCGTAATTCCTTTTTACTCCAGTCTAAGGTAAATGTATGTAAAGGTTCTGTAAACGAAAGATACTTCTAAACGTTAATTTCTGATGAAAAACCATCAAGTGGGAGGCCAGATCAGAGGAAATGGTCAATAAATCAAAGCTCGGGGTCCAGGAATTCATGGATTATAGCTGGTTGGCACTTTCCCGACCTTCCCTTAGAGATCTGAGAGTCCCCGACTTTCTTCATTGCAAACTGAGGCTGAATGGCTGTAAGGAGCTGACTCAAGATTCACGCGAGAAGTTGTTATCCCCATGGGGACGGGGCTCAAGTTGTCAGGGCTCCTGGGAATGAGCACAGTTAACAGTGCAATTAGCTTGGAAGAAGTAAAAATAAAAAACTTCCTGAGGGCCTCTGTGAGTAGGACACCCAGTGTGACATGCTCAGCACAGTGTCTGGCACATGCCGGGTGTGCACGGGGTGTGATTTCTGTGACTTGGCTACTGAGCGGCCTGCAGTGCACATTGCCCCAACCAAAGGACACAGGCCAGAAAACTATGCAGACGATCTGAGCAGGGATGGGGGAGAAGAAAAACAAGAATTCAGAAGGAAATTCTGATATTTTATTGGGCTTCTGGGGCTCAGAAAATGACGACCCAGAAGTCTCGTGTATCTACATGCTTTAACAAGAAGACTTTAGAAGCAGCCTCATAGTCAGGACTTTCTGACCTCTTCTACCCTCACCCCTGGCCCAGGGAGGGGCTATCTCTTGAATTTCCTTATCTGACTAAGGAAACTTCTTTCCACAAGAAAAATAGTAGTCTCAAGACTTGCTCCCTAGGAGTCTCATCAAATAACCAGGAAAGAATCAAGCAGACTAGAAGTTGTCACCACACCCAGATAGACTTTTCATCTATTCTCATGAAGGCAACTTCAAGAAATTACCTGGGAGACTTTATCTGCATAATGAGACAATCTTTGTTTGCAGTGAAATTCTGCCCCTCACCTTTGCACCACTTCCCCAGAGCCCAGAGGAACTCTCCTCCAAGCAATTGCTTCTTGGGCTCATTCATTTCCCCTGAAAACCATTTCCTACCCCTCATACTTGCCTACATCCACCACTTACCTCTCCTCCATTGAAGCCTCAACTATCTGGTCCTTCTTTGAGTCTCGTGTTATGGGACTTCTGTGTCCATAACCTGTTGATAAATTTGCTATGGCATTTTTTTCCTATTAATCTGTCTATAATCAGTCATTTCCGCAAACCTACAAAGAGGGCAGAAGGGAAGCTTTTCCTCCACCCTCACAGGCTAAAGGTTTCCCATATGTGACCAAGGACAGGAGGCTGTTCTATAAAATTTATGCCATAAACTAGACCAGGCTGAGATCTGTAACTACACTGAGTAGTTATTATTTCTCTCTTATATATCAAATTCCCAGAGAAGTCTGACATTACTGTTGTAAACCAAAAATAAAATTCTAAGGTCCCCAACTTTCTGAATGGAACCCTTCCCTCACTCAAGGCCATTCCAAAGTTAACCTGAAAAACTACTAATAGTTCAGGCCATGATGGGAATTGGGAGTTGGACATGCCTCATTATACCCGTCTCCCTGTTGGAACTCAGGCCCAGCTGACCAGCATTAACAGAGACCTTAAGACTGACAGAAGAGACTCTAAGTCTGATGAGAAGCATTTACAGCCTGGTCTCTGCAGCCTGCTACCTGAAGACTTCATCTGCATGATAAAACCTTGGTCTCTACAACTTCTTCTTGTAACCCAGACATTCCTTTGTATTGATTCCTGTTCTTTAGATAATAACTCAGTCAACCGTCAATCAGAAACTCTTTGAATCTCCCCATGACCTGGACGTCCCTACTTCTAGGTGTCCTGCATTTTCAGACTGAACCAATGTATACCTTAATGTATTGATTGATGTTTTATGTCTCCCTAAATGTATAAAACCAAGCTGTAGCCTGACCACCTTGGGCACATGTTGTGAGGACCTCCTGAGGCTGTGTCATGGGCATGTCCTTAACCCTGGCAAAATAAACTTCTAAATTGATTGAGACCTGTCTCGGATACTTTTTGGTTTACACTATCAACTGACATTTTTAAAAGGCAATGTCAGTGATGAAGAGAGGAACAGGCTAAGAAACAGACCTGGGTCATAGACAAGACTTGCAATCTACAGCAGAGTGGCCTTGGGCAAGTCCCCAGCTTCTTCAAGCCACAGTCCTCTCCAGTTGAATGAGATCTACTACATCTTCCAGCTCCAAGAACTTTAGGGGTTTCTGGTACCAGGCACAGTGCCTGGCACAAATGAAAATTCTCCCTAAAAGAAGTCATGAGTATTCATTATAAAGAGGAATAAAAGGCCAGGTATGGTGCTACATGCCTATGATCCTAGCACTTTAGGAGACTGAGGCGGGAGGATGGCTTGAGCTCATGGTTCAAAACCAACCTGGGCAACATAGTGCGAACTCATTGCTATAAAAATAAAGAAATAAATAGAAAAATAAATAAATAGAAAAATAAAAGAGAAAGAAGGGATCAGTTCATCATCTCTCTCCCAGCCAAAGTTAAAAAACTGGAACTCTAGAACAACAAAGCAGAAAACACATTTGGGAATGCTGCTCGCTAACCTTTCCACTCACCGCTATCCTACCTCCTCCCTCTGTCATTTAAGGGGAAAAAGTGAGTGTTTGCATGTGCACGTGTGTGTAGTTTTCACTGGTAATGGTTGACGAAATTGGCGTTAAATTGCAGTTCAAAGATTTGTCTTTGATAGATGGTATCCTCTACCTGAAATCAGAAATCAGCCATATGGCTTCAAGAAAACATATTATCTTATAACCCCTGAATGTCAATATATAATCCTAGGTGACTGGATCAATGATGCCTGGTGAGTCTTGAAAGTTTTGCCATGGGCTGGCAAACACAGATTGGTCCTAAAGTGTAGGGGGGAAGGGGAGAGGAGAAGAGATGGACTCACACTCAGCTGGAAAAAATCTTGGACACCCTTTTTTGAGCTCACTGGTTGTCAATCTACTGATTCAGGAAACACTTTTCACCTATTTGACCATTAATACAGCACAAACAACAGACAGAGGAGAATGCATTTCTATCTAATCGAGCAACAGATGCCAGGAGCTGCCCAGCACTTATCCATGCTCAGCTTCCTCACTCCAACAATTGTAAAATAATAATAAAAAATCTAAATAACAACAGCAGCAGCTAAATTATTTCTGCATCTCAATTGATTCTTTAGATGGAATGTCATCTTGACAGATCTATTCTGATTGAGTTGTCTAATTGCATAGAGTTCTCATTGCTCTTGAATTCGTGACCTCAGACTGCTGTGAAATAAATGCAATTTGGAGAATTATTTCCAAACAACAACTGCTACTCCTCTGGGAACTGACTATTGCTTCTAGTTTTTGAAATTGTTGGTGAACCACCTACTGACTAAGCTATTAAGACTAGGTGTTTTGTTTAGATTCCAGGCTAATGGTTCTATAAATTCAAAAACAAGAAATATCACAGAAGCCTGCAGATGGCCGTGCACTTAGGAGGAGACACCCAGGAGGCTGCTGGCCGGGCTCCTCAGATCCTGACCTAGTTAGCAGCCCACTCCCCTGGGCAGTCTGAGTGGTGGTAATTAGAGCTGTGTGTGGAAAAACTTGCCTAATGAACCTGCTTCAGAGGTAGTAGGTTTGTTTGAATTGGGATTATTCTCTGGACCAAAAACTAAGACTGAGGTTGCCCAAATGTTCAACAACAAAACAAAATGTTTCAGAGACCCCACAGAGTTGCAGGTGCATTCAGAACCCAGTGTACATGCTCAGTGACACCAGGATCCCTGAAGAACTTCAGCTACTTCTTGGACATGCATTTATTTCACCGTAGTGCGAAACACTATGAAGTCCAAATGGACCATCGCCTTCAGTTTACACAACACTACCATGGAGGTGCTGATAATTACGTACCCATTTTATAATTACTGAGGCTCAGCTATGTTACAGAACTTGCCCAGT